TTTTTGCGATAAAACTCATCGTTTTGCTGAAAATGGCGGAAAACTAATTTGTTGACCTTCAACCCCATACAGGGAAAAGATGGGGAACTATGAAATTTCATTTTTGATCATATTTTAAATAATCTTACTGATTTTCAGCTTGAAGGGAATGCAGGTAGCTTCACTCTTATTTTTTGATCTATTTTGACCGAACTAACAATCCCATTAGAATTGAATCATTTTTTTTCTATGTGTATTATATTATATCAACATTTTGACAATTAAAAAAATATATTTTGTCGCATTTGACATGTGGCCTCAGGACTTTAAGACTTCCAATCAGTATTGTTGGGGGATTCATATTCGAAAGGATGATAAAACTTAAACTGGCAGAGAAATCAGGGGATTTGTTGACAAGTCTGAGAAAAGTGTATATGTAATGGAAAGAAATAATAAGTCTATCAACTGGGTTCAAGTTTGATTCAATTATTAGTTATAGTATTACCAATACCAAATGGAACAGCACAGAGAAGGAATTTCCGCCTTGACATAGGCGTCGGCATATTAATTTTCAGTGGTAGTTTTTCAATTACTAATTTTTACAATCATAGCAATTGATCACCCCATGAAAAAGTTATCTCAACTGAATTTTTCCACCAATGTGACAGTTTTCCTTCTTCAAGCATTCATGAATATTCAAAATTACTCGCTAAACTTGAACATGTGAGTCCTTATTTTCAAATTCCGGATCCCTGTCGATTGTCACAGATTCCTCACACGTAATGTTATCATTTGTTTCAAAAGGTCTCCAGAAAGCCATATTGATGAAAGTACCCAAAAACACTAAGATTTTCACAAAAAATCGGTTCAAACGATGGGATTGGAACCTTTGGTATATAAACAGCTAACCCTTGTATTTAGATTCAGTATCAATTTGCTTTTCCTGAAGATGCCAACCTTGTTAGCGAAACGCGCGTCGAGTGTAAAAATATCAGTTTGGTGTTAGGGTAATTGATCTCTCGAAAAAGTTTTTAAAAATCGGTTTGCAAAACCACTCACTACCTCACCTAACCCCACGAACACACGGCGCTGATAAAGAAATATTGTGAAACGGACAAAAAATTAGTATTCAGCCAGTCCAGCTAGCCGAGCCTTTATTCCACAATAACATTTGATAGCACGTTTACTGATTATCTGGGCGACTAGGAGCCACAGGCAAAAAATGTTCATGACTGTATTCTCATTTTTATTGCCGTTCCAATTGGGAATTAATACACTATACCGTTAAGACATATTTGCCGTTTTTGTTTTGTTTGCTATCCTAATGAGCGGGTGCGCTCTACCCTCAATTTTACCCACGCCCTTCTTGGGTGCTGAACTCTAAAATCCACAAAATAAAAAAGGCGTGACAAGTATTTCGAATATTTTTGAAAGATACGTTATTGAAGAGTTCGGTCTATAGTTATTAACTACAGTTTCATCTCCTCTTGAGTATTGGCACGACGTATGAGTTTTGAAAAGCATCTGGAAATTTCAAAAACTCTTCAAATAGACTTGTTGTAATCTAATTACAAATCATAAATTCATGAAACAGATTCAGAAGAGATGAAGAATCAAATTTGGTCATTCAGTATATTTTCAGAATTCTTAAAGCTGATAATTTCTGAGTAATCCAAAAGATTGTGTTTCATACCTCTCTTTTCAAAATGTGAAACTCCATAACCGTGGTTGAACTAATGCCCTTCTGTCAAAAAAAAGTTTGCTCATTCTGGACAAAAACAAGAAGTCACCTTATAAACTCCTGATCAGAGTAATAAAATTTATCGAGTCGTTCAATTCATAATCTCTTCAGGATGAAAATGTTCATCATTGTATTCAAAAAGCACTTTATTGTTGCGTTTTTGTGGAACAATTCAGTGAAAATCTTTTAATGAAGTATTTTCTGAAAACGTTATTGATATTCATAAAGAATCGGTCAATTCCATCATATATTTTATCATTGTACATAAACAACTACATTCAGATGTCAATAATCATTTTTTTTCAGAAAATCTGGACACATTGCTGACAAACAGTTTGTGATGAGGAATTCGGTACTCACCGATCTATTTGATAACGATCCTCATATCAGGACGGTCCATCATATATTTGTGGCAATATCTATATGCTTTGGACTCCATACAATGGCTCATGATTATTTCATGAAAAATGAGTAAGTTTGATGAAAAACTTCAATTATTCAAGCATCAAGCAGTTGTATTTACCCATAGAGTACCAAAAACGGAAATGTCGTAAATGAATATGTATGTAAAAAACCAAGAAAGTACTTGATAAAAATAGCTGCTTGAACGCAAGCGAAACATAAGTGGAACCACCTATTGGTGTGACACCCAAGTCAACTTACCAAGTTTTTATGTCTGTGTTGGTGGTTTGACCAATCAACCGACAACTGCGGTAGCAGAAATTTGGGAAGCTAACCGATGGCATTTCAGGTTAGGTGGGAAACGTTATTGTCTTTTAGATCTTTGTGACTGGACGAAGAAGTTTGTTGATGACGGATGGATCTGTCAATTTGATGGTCTGTGAATCCGTTTTGAAGGAGAGCTGATTTGAGTTGGGCTAGCTCTTGTGGTTTGTTGTGGTGGTCTGCGAGGAGATCTATGGAAGAGAGAATTCAGGACGGAGTTGATTTGTGCTGGATGGTGGTGGGAGTTTGTGTTAAGGTATCTGTTTGTATGTGTTGGTTTCCTGTAGACCGTGTGTGTGAAGGAGTTATTGGATTTTGTTATGACATCTAGGAATGGAAGGGAGTTATTGGTTTCAATTTTCATTGTGGATTTTATATTTGGGTGGAGGTCGTTGAGATTATAAAGGAAATTATGGAGAGTTTCGGAGCCGTGGGGCCATATAACAGAAACGTCATCTACGTATCTGAACCAGCAAGAGGGTTTGTGGTCGAACTTGTCAATAGCCTTGGTTTCAAAGTTGCTCGACTACCTGTTTTGGTCTTATTACCTGAGCTGCCTCTTCTGCCTCTGTTATTGTACCTGTACTGTCATGTGCCGAATTTTGCTTCTGGGGTTAAGCGGTCTGATTGCTTGTGCGAAGCGATAAAACGGATCTCCATGTTGATGGTAATCTTTGCGCATCATCCCTCTTGTTCATATTATTAGGTCGTTTTTCAATTTCGATAGCCTCTCTGATTGTTAGCGAGTGAAAGTTTTCGTTGCTTGCTAGCATTTTTGTGTTATCGAAATTGATGTTATGTCCTGTTTGAAGTACGTGTTGGAAGAAAGAAGACTTGGTGACTTTTTCCTTCACTGCTAGTTTGTGTTCATCTTTGCGTTTGTTGATTCGTCTGTTGGTCTGGCCAATGTAAGTCCTGTCACATCATGGTAGGTGAGCAATGGCCGATTCTGTTTAGGTGATAATGTTTCCGATGAAAATGGATCTGAGAAGTATAGAGAAGTTGAAGCCTTTGAAAAGTTTTATGGCGGTTTTATTTTCACTGATGTGTTCGGCATTTTCATGGTTCATCCTGAGAAATGTGTCCCAAATCACTAGATGGATTTTTTAATTTGATAAACGTCCGTAAAATTGATATAAACTCAAGTTGGTGTAATGGAGATCACGTCTGATGTTCTGAATGGTTTTTCGAATGAGGGCCAAGCTGAATCGATCAAGAATCCGTCTAATATCTTCAGCTTTATTGTGATATTTGATCTTGAATGCCTTAGGTATAACTTGACGTGTTTTGCAGGCTTCACGAAATGCGAGGTCACACAGAAGTTTGGCCTTTCGAGTGAGTAGTGTGGAAAATGTTTTTCTGTCTTTGAGTATTTCTTCCCCGTAGAGGCGTTCTATTTGTTCGGATAGGTTTTCGGCGTCAGTAAATTGATATACTGTTGTCCGGGTGGAACTGCGTCTGTAATTTTCATCTTTCCGACGTTTCGGCTCCTGCTTTGGAGCCGAACTTCCTAGAAATTGTACTTACATGACTCGAGGACGAAGTCGTAATCTCCCTTGTCCCCAAGTCTTGTTACTAGCTGTATGCGTGTTGTGTTCCGCTTTGAGTTCGAACTGGTCACTCTGTTGTTCGGGGCCAATTTTCATATTGTTGTAGCAAGTATTCGGTCTGCCGATCCGCGTGTCTGTGTTACTTTCAAGTATCTTGCGTGACAACAATGCCCTCCACCCCAACTGCCCTAACAAGCGAGATTAACTACCACAAATAAGGAGGTCATTGTTCTCGCGCAAGACCGGAAACCTGCTACAACCCGTTCTTCCTCCTATGAGCTTCAAGAAACTTCAGCCATTTTTTCCTGCATGATTTCGCGATTAAAGATTTTTATTAACGTAATCAAAAACAGTTTGATGTGAGACTTCCACTCCACAGTTTACGAAACCGTGACACGTGTTTCGCTACACAATAGCATCTTCAGACGTCACAAGTAGTATTGTGACGTCTGAAGATGCTATGTATAGCGAAACACGTTTTGAGGTTTCATAAACGGTATAGTGATAATCTCACTTCCAAGTGTTTTTTGAATAAGTTTTAATGGATTTCCATCAAGTAACAGTCAGTTCTGTTATTTTTTTCTCATTAATTTTTGTTTTCAGGGTGCATTCAGGATTCACGTTGATATTTTCAGGTTTTGCGAAATTTCATATGGTTCTACGTTCCTGGGTTGAACTCATGTTGATTAACTGTTTGGGCTATGCATTTTTTGTTATTTGGGCTAAAACGAGAACATATTATTTCAACAGAGGTGAGTTTTATTGATAATTACTCTATTAATAACTTTTTTCATCTTATAAATTTGATTTTCATTGGGCTAGTTCCAATGAGTGTTAGGTTCGGAGTTTTCATCTTTGATTCTGGCAAAAAAATACCATATCATTCTTCGACAAATGTGTGCAATTCATACCAGGAAACAATCACCATTATTCAAATTATAAATACCACAGATACCACTGAAGATGTCTGCTGCAGTAGAAGACGTAACGTTCGGTACAATGACCTCAAAGCATGGATTTTGGTTTCTTCAATCGTGATCTGGATTGTGAAAGCTCATGTTAATATATAAATCATAGTTCGTCGGTTGAGCTTTGATAGATTTCAAAATCAACAAATTTGTTGAACCAGCTTCTTATAATTTGACTTATGAAACTTCATATATAGTCAATGGTAGGTTTGACGTTTATGGTAAACGCAACGCAAGAGTTTCCTGAAAATTTCACATCTCACATTTCCTTACCCGTTCTATCGATCTAAAATATTTTCATAATCAAAGCAATTTTTTTAATGGAGCACCCCGTATATTACTACATTTTTGAATGTATCTTCAATTATAATAATACATTGAGGTAAAGTAACACCCTATGAAGTCGCGAACAATTTACATTTATTGGTATAAAATATATGGATTTGTTTCAAAACTTTCGCCCTTTTTATGAGTCTACTCCAAACTGTAATATCTCAGTGAATAATTATTCAATTCATTCGAAATTGGCGCCATTTGAATCAGTACACTTCTGTCAATCCAACACAAGTTGATTATTTCCATCAGTCTTGAAATTGCGTGCTTGGGGTTCGATGGAGTCGATGAAGGCTGTTTTTGCCACGTTCTGATTGGCGAAGGTTTTACCAGTAGGAAAGTTCTTCAAGTGCTTGAAAGCATGGTAGTCGGTCGTCAAGAGGTCTGAGGAATTTATTGTGGTGAGACGGAACTTCGACACTGAACTCTTTCAATTTTGGTACATGGGGCATCCATTTTTCAAACCTTTTGACCTTTCGAATACGTTGAACCACATGGGACCTGACGTCAAGGTCTACAGTTCTTCCATCATCCCACGCAACGTGGATCACTGTAGATCGACTATTTCAGGGCCCATCTTCGAGGCTAAAGTCTTCGGAACTAATTTTCGCAAACCAATCTCTAACAGTGCTTTCATTAACACACTCATTTGCAAACGCCTGATTGATTTTTCGGGCTGTTTCGGCAGCGCTTTAGTTCAACTTAAATTCGGTGATAAAAACTGACCAAGAGATGGAAAGAGGCAAAAATTGAAATTTGGAGATAAAAACCAACACTGTCAATGTATAGAGTACAAATTTCCCTATCGATTAGTATATACCCTGACAGAGTAAAATAAATATTAATCGAGATATGTAGATACAAAAACACATGACAATGAAACTGACAAAGCTCTTGAATCAATGTAATACTAACATTTTTTTTTCATTTTAGAATTTCAAAAACTTTGGGACATTATCTGGCTGCTGACATATATAGGATACCTAATAATCACTTACAAAAGGGCTGAATTTTTTGTTAACACTTTCCAGCTTCCTCCTCCTTCAGCTTGTATCATTCTTCTGGAGCAGGTAAATGGTATATATTAGAAAATTTATTCAGTAGCCACTTTTGAAAAATCCCATCTGTTTTATGTTTCTTCATTATTAAGTTGATAATTTTTTTCAACACGCTTATGTAAGCTCCACTTGTATGTTTATTTGTTTGTAACTGACTCCTTTGGACTCTATTCTGACTAGAATGCAACACAAGTTCAAGAAGATTCAACTTTGAAATATCATCAAATCAATATGAATGGTATCAAGTCGATAGATAACTCCATAAAAACGAATGCCACCGAATCAGATAAGATATCTATCAAAATGATCAAAATTTGTATCCCTCACCTAACTGCAGCTCTAACATATTGAGTCAAAAAATACTTAGAAGCTAGTGTTTTTCTGGAACTATGGAAATATGTCCTTATTACTTCAAACGGACAGATGTATTTTGAATTTTGTACACTTACAAAAAAGGTTTATTGTCTAACATGAGTAATCCCAATCACAAGACGAATATAATTGAGTTTACAGCTATGACTAAGTATGATTACAATGGAATATAACGAATAGCATATAGACCGGGAGCCCGTGACAGAAATTTCAGTCCCATTTTTTACCGTCTGCCTTTTTCAGAGGACATATTTACAGCCACAAGCAACAGTATTATGCGTTAAACGAATGTTTTCCCACTTTGACGAACGTTTCACCGTATGCCGTTGTTTCCTTGCAATATATAAATATTAAGTAGACAAACTGTCAATTGGCAGAATAATCGACCGTGTTCAGACGAGAGTGAAAGACTATTTTAATGACAATTTAAGTGTCAATGTAACTACACAATTTGGTTTTGGAAACAATTGCAGATTCATTTTTTTGTAGATCCTAATGATGATGATTCAGAAGGCAGTATAACGAGCTACGTTAGCGTTGATTTGAATATTTCTCAGAAAACCATCATATCAGATGAAAGTTATTTAGTTTTTATGTCGATATTGGAATAAAACTATTGTTTATGTATTTCTAAATTTTGTACTTTTATCATTATTCAATCCCACTTCATCAAAACAACTGTTGGGAAAAATGGTAATAGAAGTTGTGTCGTTTCAAAGGTGTTCTCCACTGAAATTAATGAAAATCTCTCATGAAGTAACATTGACACTTGTGTCATAAAAAAATTGTCTACCGCTCTAGTCTAAAAACGGTCTATTCGTCTGCCAATTGACAGTTCAATTCAATTCAGTCTATTCAATAAATGTATATTGCAAGGAAACCATGGCAGACGGAAAAACGTTGGTCAGAGTTATCACGTTTTTCTTTTGGGAATTAAAAAATATTTTTCAGTTGCACGAACACGATTGATTCGTCTGCCAATTGACAATTAGTTCAATTTATTATCATATATATTGCAAGGAAACAATGGCTAACGGTAAAACTTTGGTCAAAGTTAATCCTTTTTTCAACAAACTAAAAAATATTTTTTTCACTTGTATAAACACGGTCAATTCGTCTGCCAATTGACAATTTGTCTACTTAATAATCATATATATTGCAAGGAAACAATGGCATTAGGTAAAATGTTGGTGAAAGTTTTTTTTGTAAGGTCATTCGCGTCTGTCTATACTTAAAACATTGCCAATTTGTCTGCCAACAATTGTCGCAGGACATTTTAATTATTGAACTTCATTACGTCCAAAAGGCAGACGGTAAAATATGATTCAGAGACACTGTAAAAAAATTGTTAATTACCTAATGCCTATAAATTTTTAATACACCAGCAAACCGTCTGCCTTGTGAAAATTCGTTCATTTCATGCTACTGTTAGTCTACGCTGTGATTGACAGACGGTAAAAAATTGATTTTAGTTAACCATTTTTTTTTGTTAAATAAAAAATGCATGCTTTAGCCAGAACACCATGTAACCGTCTGCCAATTATTTTTTTTTGTGTATTGCGTAACCTAGCCTTCCGGTCGTATGAATGGCATATGGTAGAATGGTGGTCAAAGAAACTTTTTTTTTATGTAAACTGGAGTTGATGTTTAAGCATGCGTACCATGGGAAAAAAATTCGTTTATGGCATAATACTGTTGCTTGTGGCTGTAAATATGTTATCTAAAGAAGGCAGACGGTGAAAAATCAGCAGAGTACTAGAATAGTATATTATACAAAAAGTGATACATTCATATAATAATAAAAAAAACATATACTGTAGAATTCTAATAGAATTGGTAGTGTGCAGAGGGTTGAAACACAGTATTTCACTTATGGATTGTAATTAGATTGTAGTTCGACTTGCATAAAAAATAGATTGTTACAAATTATATACTTGAAGCATACAAATGTAAAAAAAATATATCACATTCTGAATAGAAACTATTATAAATTTTACAGATGTTATGAACTGGGAATTTTATTAACACGTTGATGCTAGGCAAAGACAAATAGAAAAATATTCCGTTTCTACTACTTCGTCTCGGTACGTGAAAATCTAGTTGAGATAACAAATCTGGACAGTCAACTAGATTATGAATCAATTTATGTATGAAGATACTGGCATAAAATGTTCTTCTGTTTTCTTAGGACAAGAGGGCAAATCTATTCAGCAACACTCTATTATCAATTCCTTGGGATGGGTAAGCTCCATCAAGTTTGGGAGCCATGCATTTCATAAAGATTCTTTGACAAGATTCGAGTTGCTGTTTATGCACATTGTATATAGGTGACCAGATTGGGGAGCCATATTCCAGGCGAGATCGGACGTATGCATTAAAAGGTGTTAAAAAACATTCTTGGTTTTGAAAGTCTCTACACGTGCTGAAGTTAAGGCCAAGCAGTTTTTTTTGCAGAAGATGTGATTTGATTAATTTGTGACGTGAAGCTAAGTTTCTTATCGAATATGATGCCCAGATATTTAGTTTCTGTGCTTTGTTCTAATATGACGTCACTTATTGCATAGTCAAACTGTATATTGTTGTGCTTGAGGGTGTATTTCATAAATTTACATTTTTGGATATTCAATGGAAGCTTGTTTAGTATGTTCATGTATCGAATTAACTTCCTTCTGCAGAATAATATAGTCCTCGTTTGATTCAATGGGTCTGAAAATCTTCAAGTCATCAGCAAAGAGTAAAATGTTACTAGAGATATTTGAAACAATATCATTTATAAACAAAGAAAATAGAAGAGGAGCTAAATTACTTCCTTGAGGAGCACCACTAGCTGAAGTGAATTCTGTTGATTGTGTCCTTTGTATTATTATCAAGAATCGGTGAACATACAATCATTTCATAAGTTTATTCCATTATTCTGATCAGGATCGGCACAGAGATTTGCTCTCGCACAATCTCTATGTGAGGGCAAGTGAGATAGCCACATTGTCTGTGCATACGTATATATTTTATGTTGAAACAAATGGGCTGGAAATTTTACCTAACCAAAAATTGTAAAATATATGATAGTTCAGATAACTAAAAAACACGCTTTGATAGCAACACAAACCAAAAAATAAAGAATAATTCGAAATCAATTCACGATTGTGTTCAACATCGATATAAGTCCTTAGCTTGATGTAAGCAATGACTTTCCAGAGACTTTCCGAACCGTCTTGAATTTTGCGATTGGATGCTGGAAATGATTAGAAGAAATTGTGACTTTCTGAAGACGATAGAATTCACACACGAATGTAGTTTTTCTCGGGACAAGATTACTAATTTTTATAATTACCACATATGGGCTGATGAAAACCTTCACGCTATTGTCGAAACTAACCATCAAGAACAGTTTTCTCTTAACGTGTGGCTCGCAGTTATTGGAAATGATTTAATTGGGCCTCATTTTCTACCTCCTCGATTGAATGGTGAGGCATACGTTCAATTTTTAAGAGAAGTGCATCCAGTACCGCTGGAGGAAGTTCCTTTGGGCGTCAGAAGGGATCTGTTTTTTATGCATGATGGGCTTCCGCCCATTTTAGTCAAGTAGCACGTCAGCATTCAACTGAAACATATGCAAATCAGTGGATAGGTCGAGGAGGACCATAGAACTGGCCCGCTCAATCCCCGGATCTCAATCCTCTCGATTTCTCTATTTGGGGCCATTTACAGCATTTGGTTTATCGTACTCCTGTTCGCGATGTAGAGGACTTAAGAAACC